GGATCGCATACCCAGGAAGTCTTTCTTTACTCACTAGACATGTACTGAGCCCCAACTCTGTCTAAGGTCCCAAGATAATTTCCACAGTCGTAAAAAGAGACACAGACTGTGAGACTCATTAAACTCATTACTGTTGAGTCGGATCTGACTCATAGTGACTGCTACTTGGGTTTCTGAGGTGAGGTGGTATCACTAAGGAAGTAGATTGCCCAACCTTCCTTCTGGGCAGTAGCTGGTGGGTTTGAACCTCCAAACTTCTGGTTAGCAGTCATATGCCTTAGGCACTATGCCACCAGAGCTCCCCAGACCATCAGAGAACTACGTATCTTAGTCTCACACATTACCTGTGAAGACTGTCTCTATATAAACAGTTGTAAAATGTGACTGTGCAGAGAAGTGGCAACAATGAATTCTAGCTGAGATAGGGAGCCAGGAACTGAGGAAGGTCTGCAGGGGAGGAAATGTTTAAATTGGTCCTTAGAAGACAAGTAAGATTTAGATCAGCAGCAGTGGGAGAAAGGGCTTTCTCAGTAAGGGTAACGGAATATGCCTGGAAGTGCTAAGGTTAGTAGATTCAGGGACTCATCAGGAGTCCAGGGTGGCTTGGTGGAAAGGCTTCTGATGGCCAAGTGGAAGAGGAGGCTGTCCAGCTGGTGCCAGGTCACAGAGGACTCTGAATGCTACATGCAGCCATTCATCTACTTTATTTTATTTTTCTAGCAACTTCTGCTGATCGCTTTTATCGAATAGACAGATCTCAGGTAAGTGTTGCTTGTGAAAGGGGAGAGTTCCTATGTAGATATACTTTGGTACCTAACATCACACAGTTTTCTAAAAAGAAAAGAAATACTGAAACATTAACCAATTTGGGATGGGAATAGTATCCATAGCCCTCAAGATGACCTTTCATCTCTTCTCAGGTGTTTGTTGATCTGTGGACTCAGGATGATGTAGCTTGACCTTGGCAATGAGTCCCCAAAAATACTTGGGCTTGTGAACATTGTCCCTGGCCTGAAGTCCAAATTTTCGGTCATGCTGGTGCTCCTGCTTCCTAGGCAGATTTTGTGACTTCTAAGTTAATTTCTGGTTATGCTGGGTACATATCTGGCCAAGAGTTTCAATCAGTCCTCAGAATTCAGTAATAAGAGAAAGATGGTATACCCAATGTTAATGCATGTTCTTGATATCTAAATTCTCAAGAAAAAACAAAAACAAAAACAAAAAGGTATAGTTTTGAACCCAATTATAAAACCAATTGCTCACTGTAGCAATTAGCCTGACTGAATCTTGGAGTGAAAGTCCATGTTCCCTTACACTCGTGAGGACAGAAGTCCAGGTCACTGACACTCATGAGCGTGGAAGTCTAGTCACTTACATTCATGAGGATAGAAGTCTAGGTTCACTGAACTCGTGAGGACAGAAGTCAAGGTTCACTTGCACTCATGAGAAGAGAAGTCTAGGTCACTTACTCTTGTGAGAAAAATGTGCAAGACCATCTCTGGTTATATCTGATGAGACCCAGGTAAAACATGAATCCTGAACTAACAGGGCTTAGCTCTCCCCAACGCCCACCTCTTGACACAGGGCTGCTTCAGTGAGGACCGGCTGCCTGTCATACCCCCGACAATGCACCTTACTCAGTAGACATGGCCCAGAATTTCGTTTTTCCTCAAGACTAAGAATGCTTTGCTCTGTTACTCTTCAGTGGTGGATTTGAACATTCTTTCAGTCATCTGACAGACTTCTCTTCCTTCCTTAGGAACACTTGCACTTTGTGATGGAGATTTCCCAAGATGAGATTTTCATTCTGGACCCAGATATGGTGGTATCCCAGCAGACGGGGACACCCCCGGGGATGCCTGACCTAGTAGTGGAGCAGGCCTCAGGGTGAGTGGGCTGCTCCTGGCTGCCGTGGGGACATGACCACAGGGTAACAGCTGGGCCTGGCTTAGACTTGATCTCATGACATCCAACCATTTTAGAATTTAGACTGAGAGTTTCTCATTGTGCTTCCTTAGGGCAGGTGTAGATGATCCCGCTGTAAGTCGGTGTTACAAACCACGGTGTAGAATTACTCTTTCCCACCCACATTTGTATCTTGCCTGAATCTTCTTTATCCACTGCACCAACATTTATAACAAATCTAGGAAACATGAACACTTGCATTTGTGCATATACATCTTTAAAACCAAACTCATTGTTGTTGAGACAATCTGACTCCTAGCAACCCCACGGGGCAGAGTAGAACTACCCCATAGGGTTTCTGAGGGTGTAAATCTTTGCGGTGGACTCCCACATCTTTCTCCCATGGAGCGGCTGGTGGGCTTGAACCACTGACGTTTCAGTTAGTGGCCAAGTGCTTAACCAGTGCTCCATCAGGGCTCCTTACATATGTCCTTAAGCAACCATATTTTCCAACTGCTTTTTCTTTCCTCCTCTCCCGTCTCTTCTTGTTTGTCTCTTCCTCCTCCCACTTCTCCTTCTATTTGGAGTCAACCTGGCCCACACACACAGAGATTGTGCATCAATAGTTACTATTTTTTTAAGCATTTTTTTATGAGCTAAACATCGTGCTAAATGCCTTTCATGTGTCTCTGTCACTACTTAATAATTATTTAGCCAGTTACATCTAGACTGGCAGATGGTAGACACTCATTAAATAATGTGCTATTAAAATCATCATTATTCCTCATTGACCATGCAAGTTTGGTCCTGTTATTCCAAATCCATACAAGCATACAAGGCTGGTAGTTCAAATATGGATTTCCCTGGAAAGCACACAATGGTACATTCAGATAACATGCAAATTGGATACACATACACCACATAAATGAGCATATTCATTTGAAGTAACGCCTATCTCTATTTCCTCCTGTTTATTAATTTATTTGACCTCTGCTGTACTGTTCATGAGTGTCTCCCACTCTGCCACAGATAGCTGATGTCTGTGGCATATGTTGAGCTAGTGGGGACCAGAAGTGGCAGCTGGAACAGATCTCTGGCTGTGCTTTGGAAGGTGGCATTAATATCAAGGCTATCTGGCATGAAGGGAATGGTGAGCAGGCACAGGGGTAGCCTGATGGAATCCTGGGTGTCCTGGAAGGCAGTGGGAAGCATTGGCTCCCCAGGCTCGGTGCTTTAATCCAGTCTGAGGTTCATGGGGAAAGCTGGCATGGTAACGCATCCTGCTGTGGAAGTGTTGGGTTGGAATGTGGTTGTCTTCCCACCCACCTGGGCTCTACTGCTCAGTCTGATAAATGGTGAACCCACCCACTACGTGATTGAACAACCTGATTTGTATGAGCAAGTCCATTTTGGAGAAATTTCAGGCAAAATCCTCCTTACAAATGGGGGTGGCAAGACTTAGTCTCACTTACTTTGGGCACGGCATCAGGAAATACCACTTGCTGGAGAAGGGTACCATATTTAATAAAATAGAGGTTCAGCGAAAGTGGGGGACACCCTCCATGGGATGGATGATATAGCAGCCTCAACAGTGGACTCAATCAGACCAACAGTTGTGAGGAGGGCATTGGGCAGGCGGTGCTGCGTTCTATTGTATGCAAGGGCACCACGACTCAGAGCCGATCTACAGCAGCTAACACCACCACCACCAAAACCACACCAGCACCACCATCACTGCCACCCTGCCATCACCACCACTACCACCGCTATCACAGTACCACTACCACCATCACCGCCACTCCGCCATCACCACCGCCACCACCAGCACAACACCACCACCACCACCACCATCACTGCCGCTCTGCCACCACCACCACCACCACTGCCACCACCACCATCACTGCCACCCCGCCATCACCACCACTACTACCACCACCACCACCACTGCTACCACCATCATAGCACCACCGCTGTCACCACCACCATCCCACCATCACCACCACTGCCACCCCGAAATCACCACCACTACTACCACCACCACCACCACTGCTACCACCATCATAGCACCACTGCTGTCACCACCACCATCCCACCATCACCATCACTGCCACCCCGAAATCACCACCACTACCACTACCACCACCAGCACCACCACCACCACCGCCGCCACTGCCACCATCACAGCACCACCGCTGCCACCACCACCATCCCACCATCACCACCACACCACTACCACCACCACACCACCACCCTGCCAGGCCAGCCCTGGCCTTTGTCTCCCTCAGTCATTCCCTTCAGGTCAAATAACGAGCAGAAGAAATGGCCTCATCCTGAGTTAGACATCTATTAGCTTTAAGTCCAAGACAAACACAATAAAGCTACTGCCGTCAAGTTGATTCTATTTATAGCAACCCCCATTGGATTTCCAAGGCAGTAAATCTTTACTGAAGTAGATTGCCTTATCTTCTTTCCATGGAGCAGCTCGGGGGTTTGAACCACCAGCCTTCTGGTTAGTAGTCTGATGCCTTAGGTACTGCATCACCAGCGCTCCTTCCAGGAAAAAAATAGCCTGACAATGCACTGGGACTTGAATCACTCCTTCCCCCATTTCTCATCTGTTGCCCTCTCTGGAAATAACAGGCACAGGAGAGCAGGGAAAGAGGCTGAGCTTTGTTATTTTCTAATCCTCATTTCTCCACCAGGCTCCCTGACTTCTTTACTTGTGTCATGTGGACAATCACTGAATCTTGAAATTCAGCTTTCACATCTGTAAGGTGGGCAGAATCGTACACACGTCCATGATTATGGAGAATATTAAGTGCAGTCATGAACGTAAAGTACTCAGTGAGCTACAAGAATCATTGCCAGTGTCACCTTTGGAGACAAGAAGCATTTTGAGACAGTGTAGAGCACGTCCCATGGATGACTGTGGACGCTCACTGTTGGCTGTCCTTCTTCCTTCCTCTCAGGATGTCAGACTGGTGGAATCCTGCCCTTCGGAAGCGTATGCTGAGTGACAGTGGGCTGGGAACGATCACTCCACATTACGAGGACTTGAACGGGAAGGATCTCAACCACTCCCGCGTGCTTCAGTAAGAGCTCTCTACTCTCCCTCGTGCCACTGGGATGCTGGTGGAGGATCGCACTGGCGGTGCTAACCCCCAGAACAGGAAGGGTTCTCTTTGCAGTGGTGTTTGAGCATTCCCGTGTGTGTGGCACTCTGGGGGTTGGTGGTGTTTTGCACCGTGCTCACTTTATCCATCCCAGGCTCCATCAGGAGCTTCGCCTTTCATTTTCTTTGCTCCTGAACCACACTGAGTTTTGCATATGGACCTAGAAGCCCTTTAAACCTCACCGGTGTTTTCTGTCCAGAGTCCTGTGTATACCAGGTGTCCCTGTGGTTGTCATACGATGAAGACAAGCATGATAGCAATCATGAATGGTTTAGAAATGGCACACACTTTTTCATTCATGTAAGCATGTTTCCTTGCCATTCTGTTTCATTTGTTTTCACTCCCAAGCCTGTGGGTATGGACTCTGTGCAATCATTGTGTTTACTGTGATAAATATACATGAAGCAAAACATTTGCTGTTTCAACATTCTTCATATATACAAGTTAGTGACATTAATTGTGGTCATCATATTGTGCAGCTGTCACCACTATCCATTCCCAAACTTCTCCACCACCCTCACGGCTCTCTTCAGCGATGGTGCCCATTTCTCCCTACCTCTCACCCCTAGTCACACTGTTACACTTAAGTCTGTATACACTCGTCTGTGCTAGGTGTTTCACATAAATAGAATTGTACAATATTTGTTTGTCCTTTTCTAACTGACTGACTTCATTCAGCATGATGTTTTCAAGATTCATCCATGTAGTGGTCATGTGGATTTTCCTTTTTAATTAAACTGTGTTGTTAGTGTCTGCCTTCATTTCTCTTTATGAATGAGTCGTATTCCGTGGTGTGTGTAGATCACATTCATCTGTTGATGGCCATGTCCACCGTTTTCCCCTGTTGGCTGTTGTGAGTAGTGTCGTGATGAGTGTTGGTGTGCAGGTTTGTGTTTGCATTCCTGCTTCCAGCTCTAGGCAATACTGCCAGTTGGTTTTGTTGGCTGATGGGTAGTGTTCTGGTCTCTGGGGGTCACAGTGCACTGTTTGATCATGGATGAGAAGAGCCAGCATGCTGTTTGCTGAGGCCTGACCATGATCAGAGTGTCGGGTGGATGTGGGTATTTTGTAATGGGGTTGGCACATTTGTGTGAGCAAATCCTTCCTTCCTCCTGCTTTCCCTCATTGCATAAACAGGTTCTAGGGGCAGGCGGTGGTCACGGTCAAAATCACTCACACACACCGCTTAGCTTCAAGCCAACCACTCCATCTCAGAGGTCATACAAAGTCACTGCAGTTCCTGCAACTCAGCTGGTTTCTGTCCTCTCTGAGGTCCCAATTGAATAGCAATCTTCCCAGGCTGACAGAGCAGCGAGATTACTAAGATTCTTAGAGCCTTCAGTGAACAGAAGACATGAGACAGTGATTGTTTCTCAAGGAAGTAGGGCAGCAGTAGGGCAAAGGGGAGAAGACGCAAAATGGAGGGCTAAGGACACCAGTGCCATTGGCAGAGGTTGTACTCAGAAGCCCCTAGGGCAGGAGGAGGCCGTGTACTAATTGTTCACTGTACGGCCTCTTACTCTGGTGTCTAAAGAGGAGAAAGGGAGAATGCTTGCCTGTGGATTTTCCTTTTTATTAAACCATGTTGTTAGTTTCTGATGGCATTTTGATTGCTTCCAATTCCAGATACTGCTCCATTTCCTCCTGAGACAGACTCAAGGCTCGGTACGGGTGCATCAGCCACCCACTGGTGACCAAAAAGTCGCCATCTACCCACTGGCTGACTTATTTTAAAATTAGTGCTTCAAATAACCAAGGAAATAGAAATCAGCCTGGGCCAACCGAATGAGGGTCTTGGTTGTGTTTGTGAACACGCTGTTTCCAAAAAGCAAAGCATAACCACAGCCTAGTCCTGATGCCTGACTTCTCTGTGTAGAAGACAGTAACACACATATCATAATGTATGTGCTGATATTAAGTATTCAGATTAAATATGAAATAGGATGTTAAATATTACATATTCTTCCCAAGAATCACAGATCAATTGGCTACTTTACAGTATAGCCAGGTTCTTAAACCTCCCCATCAAAATCTATTTTTATATTTTATTTGAGTTCTATTATCTTTTTAGGAATTTTCCTTAATTTTTGATTGATCTGCAATGGACAGCTATCAGTTTATCTAGCATTTATTGTACCTTAGCTCTTAAATTCACTAGCGGATCTTATTCTTTGAAAATTTTCTGTAAAGTCACTTGAAAAGCAAACATATGTGATATTCAAACACACACCTCTAGCCTTCGAGGATTTCCAATTGTGTGTCCAGACACATGGGGCTGAGATGAGTCATGCCTCTGGGCTCTGGGTGAATTCCTGACCCATAGAACACAGGAACATCCAAAAGTGGTTGTGTTAAATTAAATCACTGATGGGAAAAAAAAGTAATGGCTGTACTCCAATTTGTTCATGAATTCTCTTTTACATTTTTATCATCATGCCTGTCAATTTCTTGGGAAAAGCATCTCTTTATTTTCTTCAGAGATCATTGCTGATACAAATAGGTGTGTTGAGGGCTGTGTCTAGTGGTGTTAGTCATAAATACTGTTGATAGAGCAACTCCTGCTTGTTTTTTGTCGTAGTAAACACTATCTCTGATTCTTCCAGCAGCTTTTAAAGTTAGCCATTACATTACAGATGAATGAAGTGAGGCCTGGAGAGGTTAAGCACTTATATTAGCTTACCAGACAGCAAGAGTCTGAAATGTGGGTTGAACCCAAGCCCAGTGGATTTTTGATTCCATGTTTTTCCCATTACACTATATTTCCATCCCAAGGAACAGGACAAAAGCATTTGATAATGGACAGGGTAGGTGCCCAGAACCTAAGAGATATACTAGGGTTTCTATTTCCTTTGTATTTTATAATGTTAAAGATTCTATTTTATATATATGTATGTATATGTATGTGTGTGTGTATATGCTTTTCAGCTATTAACCAAAAGGTAGGGGCTCTGGTAACATAATGCCTAAAGGCACTTGACTGCTAACCAGAAGGCTGGTGGTTCATACCCAGCAGCCCCTCCTCAGAAGGAAGATGGGGCAATCTACTTCCATAGTGATACTGCCTCGGAAACCCAAGGAGGGGTCGCTGTGAGTCGGATGTGACTCGACGGCACATGACAACACCAACAACAACCAGAAGGTTGGTGGTTCCAGTCCTCCTGGTGGTTCCTTGGAGGAAAGGCCTGGCAACATACTTCTAATGAATCAGTGACTAATTAACCCCCTGGAGCACACATGTCCTCTGACACACATGGGGTCACCGTGGGTAGGGTCAGTCTGACAGAAACTGGTTGGTTTTCCATTGGCACATTAAGTATAGGATGGCAAACTTACCCACAAGTCAGTATGGCTAAGAGCTAACTTCAATGCAAAAAAAAAAAAAAAAAAATTGTTTTTTTGCTTTTGAAATAAGAAAAATGGTGGTAGACTCCTACTTAAAAATTATTAAATATATCCCACATCCGAATAAGTACAGAACTTAGGTAGAAGTACCACCTGCCATAAAGGTTGCTCTGGTCTGTTTGCATCGGCTCTTTCTTCTAATCTGTAAACAGCAGACCGTCGTATAAAGCATGCGGCGTGGTTTCATGTCATTAGTTCCTTTGTCTTATTTTTTATCGCCTTTGTCATACAATGCATACACTTTTGAAACTTGCCATTTCATCCATCTATTTTAAAAAAAAAAAAAAACTTTTTATTGTGATTTGGGTGTACTTTTGCAAAACAGATTCGTTTTATACTCAGCATCTGTACCCATTTTGTTTCCCAGCCCAATTACAGTCTCTACAATGGACCAGCTTTCCTCCCACCTCCTCCCTGTGGTCACCCCTTCCCTGTATCCATGCTCTCCTATTTGTCTAGCTTTCCCTCTGTGCAAATGCTGCCTTTCCGATCTCTCACAGTTGATGGTTCTAAGGAGGGCATCTCCCTGGGGTAGGTGGTCAGCTCGTAGGCCTGTCTGTTGTTTGGCCGAGAGCTAACCCACAAGATCAAGTACAGTTCCAGGTTCGAAGGGTAACCTGGGGCCATAGTCTTGTTTTATTTATTTATTTTTTTAACCTGTCTCTATCCAACCAGTAACTGTGGTCATTTTATTTTTATTTTTAATACCCGTCAAATTCTTGAAATTCATCCATATTGATATATGTTAGTTTTTAATAATTTTATTCAGAATGAAACATTCATCCTAAATATGCCATAAGCAACTTCTCTATTTTGCTATTGATTTCTGATATCCTATTATTTTTCAAAAATACAGAGAACCTCCTGGTACCTGTGTCCTTCTGTGTCTGGGCATATATGCAGTTTTGATTGTACTTGATATTGCCAAGTTTACCTTCCCACCAGTAATATTTGATAATTCACAAGGGAAAAGGACCTGAAAAATTGCTATCCAATTGGCACCTGTTGCTTCCCACTGTAAAACCCCATTCAGCATGGAGATAGGAAAAGGACATTGTCACATCCTGGTGACAGTGCTCAATGACTTATCCTCTGGGAAATCAGAAGGGAAATCCTAAATTCCTAAAACTGAAAATGCTATTGGTGAGGGTCCGCAGAGCACTTGTGAAGTGGTCCACAGAGGATGATTTATAGGTCTGCATTCATTTATCGGGGCAACAATCATTGAATACAAGTAGGCAGAGCCTTCAGTTTGCTAAACTGGAATGAGAATCCCAGAGCAAACATCAAATAAACAAAAAGGAAGAAGAAGAAGAAAAAGAAAGGACAGAAAATCAATGAGAAGAGAAGAAAAGAAATAAAATAGATGATTCAGCCCCCCTCAAAAAAAAAATGGATTATCTGAAAAGAGAACTAAGCAGGACAATATTTGGGGAAAACTGATTGAACAAGGAGATATGGGGAGTAGGAAGCAACACAAGTGCAGGCCCCTCCCACCGGGGCCTCCTTCCAGCCCT